AACAAACAAAGAAACCACAGATCCACGGCCGAAAAGCCCAACAAAAGCACCAGGAGAAAAACAACACAAAGAAGCAAAATAAACATTACAACACTTACGCCACCATTCCACTGCTCTTCCGCCCCCCCTCTCCTCGTTGCACCCCCCCCCCCCGGCACCTCCCCCCCGCCCCCCCCCCCCCCCCCCCACCTTTCACTCCGCCTCCCCCTTCCCCCCTCCCTCCTCCCCTCCTCCTCGCGCCGCACGCCTCACTCCTTCTCCTCAGGGAGGGGGGGAGGAGTCAGGAGGGAGGAGGGCGCAGGAGGGAGGAAGAAAGGCGAGGAGGAGGAGGGTGAGAGTGGGGACGGGATAAGATGGGGCTGAAAACCAAAAAACAACAAGAAACAAACCAAACCAATAAACCAAAGACCGACGACGGCCGAACAAAAAAACACAAGGAACAACAAACAAAACAGCACTTACTCCACCGTTCCACTGCTCCACCGCCCCCTCTCTCCTCGGTCCCCCCCCCGCTTCCCCCCCCCGTGTCCCCACCTTTCACTCCTCCTCCTCCCCCTTTCTCCCCCTCCCTCCCCCTCCTCCTCCTCGCGCCCCTCGTCCTCTGCGCCAAAACCAACCTGACCCACTAAAGCTAACGTGACCAACGGTTCGGCGACACCAGCGTGCCACGCACGACACGAGCGCTGCACCGGCTTCTCGACGCGCCGGCGGCGACGACCGGCCCGGGGCCGGCCGAGGAGCGGGCCGGCGGGGCGCCGGTCGCACTCGCGGCAGAGGCGCAGCAGGACCCGGAGCGAGGCCAGCTCGGCGCTCATGGGCGCAGTGCCAGCGCCGCGCGCGCGCGCGGCGGGGCGGGGGGGCGGCAAAGAAGCCCTGAGAGAAGGGGGCGCAGGATCAGGTGGGCCGCACAAAGACATACTGGTGCCATTTGTCCTCCTTGGAGGTGTGCGTCCGACCCCGATGTTTGATATGCCCATCCTGTAGTACATCGTTTCCCGGGCGGTGCGGCCAGAAAGAAGCGCCCGCCACGACGCATGTACTATGAGATTTCTCGGTGCGCGTGTCGCCCCTGGGGTGCGACGCATACATATATGAGGGTGACGCCGATCAGGCAGCATCGAGTCGGTACAGTCAAGCCATATAAGGACGCACGATGAGGATGCAAGGGCCCTGTAGGGTCAGGTCAACACGTTGCGAGCGGGGAGCAGCCAGCGAAAAAGCCAAGGATGGGCCAAAAGCGAACGGTGCCAGTATAACGGAAGTTACCCTCCTTCCTATGGGGGTTGACTGCAAGTCGGATCGGGTCGAAGTGTGCATCGTATCGGGCTGCATCGGCACGGAATCGCAAC